ATTGCAATATTCAATTTAATTTAATTTTAAATATGATATATTTTGATAAGGACATTTTAGTTATTTAGATATTTACTAATTTTCTCTCCTTTCTATTTTTTCTCATCCATCCAAGCAAGAAGGATGATGCAACTTCCCTCCAGTTTTTCCTTCTCTTTATTTTCTTTCCTCTCAACTTTTCTTCCTATCCAAACAGAGCATTAGAGTAAATTATATTACATGCTTTGAGGTTTTCATGTTTTTGAGATAAATGTTATAAGTCTAGAAAACGTCTGCTAAAATTTCAATGCAATATGATTAAACAGAAAATCACGCTACCGTCATAAATTAAACATCGGATCATTTACCTCCTAATAAAACTCATTAATTTATTTACATATTAATCAGTGAATAACACATCTTTTGTTAAATATTTAATGAAAATTTTTTTATGTACATGCTCATTTGTAACTATAGAAAGTAACTAAAACCGCACTAAGCAATGGTCCAAACAATTACTCCTTTAGTCTTTAATATAAGACCTAATTGTTGAGTTGATTTTGGTTCTAAATATAAGATCTATTTCTCATATTTATTAATTTTTTCTAAATTACTCCTATTAATCTCCCTCAACCATAATCAAGTAGAAGAGGGAAAAAGGATATTAAGAAAGATGATTATGGTGTTTTAGGAAAAAACATGTCATATTTCTTATAATTAACTAACTTACCTAACTTTTTTAATCTAATCAAATTAGTTAATAATTAAGTCTTATATTAAGGATTGGAGGATTACAATGGATCATCCAAGACACAACTTGGCCCAAACGTATATGATCAGTCTCTCTTGGCGTGCGAAGATGATAAGAATGCCACGCTCACCTAATTGGTCGCAGAAAGGGATAAAAATACCACACTCTGTGAACTCCTCCATGTCCATTATTAGCTTAGCAAGAATATAATCTTTTTGCAGAGTTCATTAAAAAAACCATATATGAAAAGACATAAAATATACAGTATGTCCAAGCCTTCATAATGATTGCTTCTCAACTTTGGCAACTTGACCTTTTTCTTTTGCTCAGCCACTTTGATTTTCTAATTTTAGATGTCTCTACTTGATTATTTTATATAAAAAACAGAATTTCAAAGAACTCTTCCTATCCTAAATATAAAACCCATTTTGTAGTATAAATTATACTACAAAATAGGTCTTATATTTAAGATCGAAAGAGTATAGTGGTTACATATGTGTATATGTAGCTACCTATGTATGCTTGCCTCTCTATATATATATATATATATATATATATATATATATTCCTAGAATGACATTAAAATGATAAATTCTGGTTTGACATTGTTTCATATATTTACCAGAGCTTCTTCCACTATTAATCTTGAATTGTTTATCAAAGGCAAACTTCGAGACGATGATGTGAAAATATATTATTCGCATGATAAGTAGCAAAGACTTTTATATTAACTAAGATATGGCTGGAAATTTGGAAGTGAAGTTCCTCCATGTTTTCCTGGAAAATCTATGTGAGAAAAAAGGGAAATTTTGCAAAAGTGATAAACATTCTCAATTGAAAATACAACGGAAGTTCGTAGTAACAATGGTATGAGAGGATTCAAAAGTTAAAAGCGGAATCACAAACAAATTTTGAGAAGTCCAATATCCAGATTATATACATATGGAGATTAGACTTAAAAGCAATAGTAATCCTTCTAAGTTCTAATTCAGTTTAAGCGTGTGCAAAGTTTTGAACAGAATGCCAGAGTAATTCGGCTTGATTACGCTAATCGATCACACTGCGTATAATTTTCGACTCATTGGGATAATTTGTACTCGGAATTGATACTAAAATTCCCTGGGAAAACACAGACTAAGGCAGGCATTCCCTCTGATATTCTACCTCTTGGTACAGATCAAAGTTCATTCATGCCTGCGTTACGTTTCCCATTCCCAGCCACAAAGTGGAGATTACGAAGCACGATCACCTTCACAACTTACACAACACAAGAAAGCCATATAAGGACCAAATTTTCAAAGCAGAGAGGAAGCCCTACCTAGAAAAGCCTATTCCCCACTGTGTTCAGTACTGTAGCCCTCTGCAATAGGTCAGTCAAATATTCCGGAGTCACCATGCATGGACATGGCTTCCTTTGGGGTTGAAATGAAGATACTTGCTTGATTCAGAACCCTGTAATTGATAAAATGTGAGACAAATGTAAACAAGACGATTGAAACAAAGGTATTTGAATTGGCATCTATAGTTTCTCCATTTGCCCCATAAACTACTGATCGGCTTCTATAATAACGTATTTGAGGGCTGCTATATTTAATTTCTCCATAAAATGATGAGTCTTTGATTGGCTTTTTGACGTTGTAAGCTACCAGCATACAGAAGAATTAACGTTGTGGCCATTAGGCTCACCAATTATCATATTTGCAAGTGTTTGCACTGCTGTTATGCTCTTCTTTTGAGCACCTTTGTCTTTGGTACAAGCAAAACAACACCTGGGCGCTGTCTGATACGTGGGATTGGAAAAAGCTAAGCAAGACGTGTTTGGTGTAAGGGATTGGCGGTAACTTGGGATTGCTTAATATCCCCCCCCCAAAGAACAAAAAATGGTATTGGAGATCCGGTTTTGGGATTGAAAACTTTGGGACCAAAAAAAAAAAAAACTCTTCCTTCAAAGCGTTACGTCTGCAATGATCGTCGCTGCCGCCATCCTCGTCGCATGTCCTCCTGCAACGATCGTCATGCCAGCTGGAGCCTCAAGTCCCAGAAGATCGAAAATGAGAGATAGGGACTAAGATTATAGTTGAGAAAAATTATTAAAATAGTATTTAACGTAATATTATTTGTTATATGTGATTAGCCAAACCCATAAACGTGAGATTGGAAAATACCACCTCTTTCTATGGTATTTCACAATCTCATATCTATTGCTTTGGCTAATCCTATGTAATAAGTAATCTCTCGTATTAAATACTCTTTTAATAGATTTTTTTCAATTTCAATAACAATTCTTGCTCTTAATTTTCAATGGGTCATGCCAAACGGAGCTTTGAGTTCACTAATGAGGGCAACGGTGATCTCGCGGCATCCTTCCTCGACGACGATCTCGCTAATGATGAGAGCAGCACCCTTCATCTGATTCGAAAACAGATCACGTCGTCGCGCAAACTGATTTCCTTCGATTGCGACTTCCTCTCCACGCGGCAGCGATGTGCAGCAGTTATAGCAATTTCCTGTTCGTGATTGCCGTCACTACTACGGCTTTAATATTTTTTATTTTTTTAGTATCATATGTAAAAAAAATTGAACACCTGAAATTTATCAATTTTTTCTTTTTAAATCCATTTTATTTGATATGAAACTTTTTATAAACTTCTGTAGTCACCAGTCAAATGTACTAATTCAATATTAATAATATAATAGTTCACATGATCGCGGGTTCGAATGTCTGACCAAAAGTCTGTTGAAGTCTCTGTACTGAGAAAAATCTTCGTACAATATATTCCATATCGTATAATAATTAACATGCTAAAATTGGTTCGCAAGTATAATTCTCCCTTGATTCTCCAGATATTTTAGTGGCCCCATGTGTCAGTGGCTATTGATTTAACGTAGGGACCGTTTGGTTCAATTGCAGTTTGCTTTTACAATACACTGCAGTGCAATGTAGTGGATTGCAATGCAATTTTGATTATTGATGATCTGTTTGGTATATTATAAAGAAAACATGGTAGATGATATTTATTATTTTCAATAAAACAAATAAAATTTATGAAATGACCCTTTTATTCCTTGACCAAAAAACAATCCTTCCCTTCCCGAACGTTCCTTCTTCCTCGACAAGACTGCCGATAAAATACACACATCAATCTTTCATTTCACTAGCTATTGAATTCATTATCATAACGGACTGGAACCATTAAAGCCAATGATTAAAATCATCTATGAAAATAAGGCCACTATCATCATCATCAAAATTTTTACATCTTCATCAACCCGAATGAAAGATACTGTTTATAAAACAAGAGAGATCTGAATCAAAGAAGATAAGGGAAATAAAAAAACAGATATGGAAATAAAGGATATGAAATAGAAAAAGAATGAGGTCTGAAAACCCAAACAACAAGCAGATCGAAGAATGTAGAGACAAGATCATCACTGTATGGCATGGAAAGGCATATATATGAGATTTTTGAAGGAAGGATGCTGAAGGCTAATGATATAGCAAGAGGAGAATAAACCGGGGGTCATGACGAATGCAAAGCATAGGGACAAAAATCGGGCAAAGACAGTGGTGGTGCTAGGTGTTGGGTACGGTTGCGTTCATGGTGGTCAGGTCATCAGCGGTAGCAAGTGCTAGGTGTGGCGGAGGTGTTCACAATGGTCAGCGTCGTGGTGGGTGCTGGGTGCAACAACATTCACGGCTGTCGGCTGCAATGGAGGGTGGGTGATAAAGAACGAAGGAGACTACTGAAACAAAAAGAGGGCAAATGTGACTTTTTCAAATATGCAATGGATGGTAATGAGTATTCATATGGGGGAGGTATGAACGAGGATTACCAATTATTTTGGTAATCATCATTGCCACGGTAAATCCTATTACCAAATTAAAGAGTAACCAACCATTCTCTTCTTGGTAATGTAATGTTAATTGCCATTACATGCCTGCAATAGAATTGAACCAAACAGACTCATAATGTCTCGGTTTTTTTTTTCCCCTTCATTGCAAAGATAGCTCATTTTGTTGCATTCCTGGACGATCAGTTTAACCATTAATTAGATAACAGATGAAGTTTCTAATATGTTAACTTTCATATCTTAAAAAACATTATGCGAACGTTTTCCTTTATCTATCTCATGATGAGGAGACTAAATAAATAAGATTCATACTTCGAAGAACATGTATGTAACAGAGAAGAGTTTGGAGGCTGCAATTTTATTCATTGCCGATCCAGCACATACGATAACAACACTGACGAAATCACAAACACCACAAGTTAGCTGCTTTGATTCATATAATACTGAACTTCCCTTTACCAGATTCAGCTCTTTTCACAAACGCCACCATGAACACATTTCCACTGTTATGCTTTTCCACAACCAGATTCCTGCTTCCCTCCTTCTTATATTCAACGCCAACGTCATAACAAGTACCAGAAGAAGAAGAACCCACAATGTTGCCTCCGGGGCAAAACACAAGCTTGTAAGCAATCGCGTTGAACACCTCGATCTGGAAAACACCACTCACCAACTCAGAATCTGGATGATCTTCAGGCCCTCCAATAACCACCCTCGAGGAAGATCCAGATTCAAAAGCCACCACCCACTTGGAGGATTCGGCACAATCTGGTTTTTCCGCGAACTCGATTTCCAGATCAGTAGAACCTGGATATATCTTGTCTGTGCTTGTTCCTTGAACATGGAATTTTACTGGGGCACCCTTGTTCAGGTCAGAATTTTCTTGCAAAACCGAATATGAACATGATGAGGCATCCCCAGTTTTTTCTGGTTTAACCCCGCCACCTCCTTCTCCCCATACGGCTGACATTATGTAGTACTCTTGATCTGCAACAAGTGGTTCTCCATTGACGTCATTCACTGGTTCTTCACCACTATAAGCTGAGGCCAGTGATAATGGTTTGGTGATGGTGAAGGAAAACCAGAGAAGGAAGGAGAGGGTTATGATCAGTGACCTTCCAGCAGGCATCTTGCTCTCTCACAGTAGTATTAATTACTGGATGTTCCAGGATTCCTTGTAACTTGAAATCTGAGAGAAACACAAGGTTTGGCACGTCCTTTATATAGAGAATGCGAGGAAGGAGGATACTAGCCAGCAAGGAAGACACGTGTCACAACATGCATAACTTGATCGATCTCTAAACAATTGTGATATGATTTTAAATGAGGACAAGTATTTATTCAGATGTTAATTAAATTTTTGAAATCCACTTGCATGCAGGCTGCCACATTAACAAGGTAACGAGTGTATGTGTTTATCACTTTGATGAATATCCTAAACTCATCAGATCTAAATCGTTTGTATTTGATTTGAACGGTTTAAATTTAAAATTTTTAATTAATTATTTTAAATAGAATTTTTTTTTGAAAAAAAGATAGTTAAAAGATTATCTTTATTTTAGATTTCATCCATATTAAAATAATTATCTTGAATAAACAAAAATAAAAAAGAAATCAAACCCTGACCATCCAAATGAAATATAGACGATCTAAATCTGATGAGTTTAAGGTACTCATCGCTATGAGTATTGAAACTGGTCCCATTAACAAGTATATGTCTACGTGGAACTAGCGGGAGGGATAAAATTAAATTGCCCCATTTTGTTTGTTCTCAAATATGGCCTATATGTTAAAACTATTTTGAATGCGAAGATGCCAAAAAGTAAATCATCATTTGAAAACAAATTAAAGTTTCAATATAAAAGTTTTAGGAAATCTATATTTGCTAATAAGTCCTTTGAATTTAATTTATTTAATGAGGACCATATTGAAAACTATTAATTAAAACCTTTTGACAAACTTAAATGATAACCAGCTTTTTAACTTATATTAATTTATTAATATGTAAGAGATAGCTAATTAAACACAACTAGTATCCATAATGGAGTAATTGAGTAGTATTAAAAATTTTATGCATACATTACAAGATGCTCCTCATATTCTTTCTTTCTCTAATTAATTTTCTTCCTTCTTTTTTTTTTTAACCAATGCTCCTCGTTTTCCGTATGAGTTATGCTGACACTCGACGAAGAAATGTCTGTGAAAGGAAATCTCTCAAGAGTGGTTGGAGTTTGGATTGGACCCAACAGGTTTTAAAACTTTTTCTTTTATTATATTTTATTCTGTGTAAGAATGGTTGAGTGATAAAAGACATCGTTTTACGTAATTATTATTTTATTACTTCACTATAAACTAAAAAAATTAAATTTATTATAAAAATATCGCCTTCATTCGCAAATTTAATTTCTGTTAATAGCATAATATTCCTAAATGAAAAAAATTGTTGAAAAGTTCCTCATTGCAAAATTTATTGTATAAATTAAAGGTAAATTTATTTAAGAATTCGGATGTAACATATCTTCAACTAATGATACAACTCTTCTTTAATTGTGTGTAATTTCTTTTTTGGTTATGATTCAATATAGCTAAAGATAAGTCACACATAGTAATAAAGAAGAATTACACCTGCTTACTTAAGGACCTTATTCGTTAATATTCTTGTATAATAAATATTGTGACAGGAGATTTTCTTCTAAGTGAGAACTATTGTATTATCTTTGATATTTAATATAAGAATTAAATAATTAATTTATAAATACTAAAAATTGGTTAAATTAGTTATTTATAACAAGTTAGCTTTTAAAAAATATCATTTTCAATTACGTGTAATGTAACTGTCATTTAATGATAACTCTTTTATTATATGTAATCAATAAGAATATATTAGAGAAAAAATTATAAATATAAAAAACAAAATAAACTGGGTTTATATTTATTATCAAAATCAACTCTTTGATTAACTCTCAGGCAGGCCACGTTTCTCTCCTTTAGTTATGCACAGTCATCACATTCATCAATAACATGGGAGGACATGGTGCTCTTGCTAAACAATTTTTCTTGAGCAGATTTTTTTAGGTTTTTTCCCACTCTTTTATTACTTCTCCTTTTCATTTTCATTTTTGTTATGTAAACTTTTAATTGTTACTAAATTAATACATTTTATCTTTTTATCCGGGGGGGGGGGGAAAGAAAACTCAGAGTCTAATTTAAAAGTTTGGTGTGTCCCATTCCGAAAACAAAAAAAAAAAGTTTGGTGTGCATTCAGGTGTGCTATCACGCGACCTCAAATTTTGTTTAAGGGTGCCCTATTAGTTAATCTAGTGAATACTGAAAAAGGCTGTTTTAAACAGAAGAGAGAATCAGCTTTCACAGGCCTTCAAATGATGTCTCAAATCTTTTACGTACTCTTTCCTGAATGCTTCACGTGCCATCTTATTTAATCCCTCTAATCTTCACCAGTCTTATATTAATTTATTAACATGTAAGAGATAGTTAATTAAAAACAACTTTCAGGCAAAAAAATAAAAAATAAATAAACACAACTTGTATCAATAATGGAGTAATTGAATAGGATTAAAAAAGTTTATGCATACATTACAAGATGCTCCTCATATTCTTTCTTTCTTTAATTAATTCCCTTCATTCCTTCATTTTTTTTCAATTGACGCTCCTCATTTTCCTTAATTATGAGTTAAGCTGACACTCGACGAAGAAATTTCTGTAAAAGGAAAGCTCTCGAAGAGTGGTTGGAGTTTGGACCCAACAGGTCTTAAAACTTTTTCTTTTATTATATTTTATTCTATGTAAGGTTAGAGCCGGGAAAACGGGCCGAGCCCGTCGGGCCGCCCGTTTAAGCCCGTTTAAGTCGCGGGCCGGGCTTGTATTTTGAAGTCTTGAAAGGGAAGTCGGGCTTAAAAGGGCCAGCCCTGTAGGGCCGAAAAATAAACGGGCCAGCCCTGTAGGGCCGCGGGCCGACCCGTTTAAGCCCGCCAATAATTTTTTTTTAATTTTTATATTTTTTTCTTAACTTAAAAAGGAAAACCCTAACATTTTACACATAATATACTCTTAGTTTTACTTACCCCACTGCTTACACAAATGGCATTCACAAAAAAAAGAAATCACCATAATTCTAAGTTATTAACAAAAATGTGTTATTATTTATAAGTTGTCAAAACCTATTAAAATACTGTATGTGTTATTTTACAATCTTTATTTATCATTTTTTCATTTTTTTATACTTGAAATAGAATTGGTTAAAGAATCTTTTGAATTAAATAAAAATCTATATCATTTTTATAGTTAGAAACAAATTTAGAACTATGGATGATGAACTCTTTTCTTTTTTGTCAGTAGGACAAACAATTATTTTTTATATATACTATGTTTGTTAGTTAAACTTTTTGTTAATTATTTATAATTAAACAAGATCATCCATATTGTAATTATTTACTGAACTTAGTGTTTATTTAGTTGTTTATGTCTGTCCTCTATTTAGTTTGTTCATTCAATAAACTTTATTACACTGTGATAGATGTTTTAACATAATGATATTTATGTTTGTGACTTATTTTTATTTTTATTTATATCTTTTATTAGTAAATTTTGTTGTTTCATTTTATTATTTCGATAAAATAGGCAAAGAAAAATAATAAAAATACATTTTAGTTAAACGGGTCAAAAGCCCGCGGGCCAGCCCGAGCCCGTTATCTCACGGGCCGGGCTTGGGAAAATGCTTCATTTTTTGAACTCGGGCTTAAAAACGGGCCGGCCCGTTTAAGCCCGAGCCCGTGACAGGGCCGGCCCGGCCCGTTTCCCAGTGCTATGTAAGGTTGAGTGATAAAACAAATAATTTTAAGTAATTATTATTTTTATTACTTCACTATAAACTAAAAAAAACTAAATTTATTATAAAAATATCGCCTTCACTCGAAAATTTAATTTTCTGTTAATAGCATAATATTCCTAAATGAAAAAAATCGTTGGAAAAGTTCCTCATTGCAAAATTTATTGTATAAATTAAAGGTAAATTTATTTAAAAACTCGGATGCAATATATGTTCAACTAATGGATACAAATCTTCTTTAATTATATGCAATTTATTTTTTTCAGTTGTGATTCCATCTAGCTAAAGATAAGTCACACATAATTAGTTGATAAAGAAGAATTACACCTGCTTAATTAAGGACCGAATTCTTTAATATTTTGTATGATAAATATTGTGACAGGAGATTTTTCTTCTAAATGAGAACTAATATTATCTCTGATATTCAATATAAGAGTTAAATAATTAATTTATAAATACTAAAAAAATTAATTAAATTAGTTATTTATAATAAATATGAATTAGTTTTTGAAAAATACCATTTTCAATTATGTGCAATGTAACTGTCATTTAATGATAACTCCCTTGTTATATGCGATCAATAGAGATACTTTAAAAAAAAATTACAAATATGAGAAACAAAATAAATTAAATTTTTATATATTTTATCAAAATCAACTCTTTGTTTAACTCAAAGTTAGGCCAAGTTTCTCTCTTTTTTTTTTTTTGGCTTAAGCAGCCGGTATCATAAGTCAGGCCATTTTTCAAGCATAGCATTAGGCCCAGACTAATTCGGATTGAAACATGACATGAACTATTAAGGATAGCGTCCCTGGTCCTTAAAATGCTGCAAACTCGAAACCTATAGTTAAGTTAGAATAATCCAGTTAGCTAATCTAATAGTTAGGGTTTAAGTTTCTCTCCTTTAGTTATGGGCGGTTATCACATGCATCAATAGCATCGGAAGACATTATTCTTTTGTTAAACAATTTTCTTGAGCAGACTTTTTAGTTTTTTTTCCCCCTCTTTTATCACTTCTCTTTTCATTTTCACTTTTGTTATGTAAACTTTTAATTGTGATTAAACTAATACATTTTATCTTTTTATCAAAAAAAAAAAGGAAAGAAAACTCAGAGTTCGTGTAATTTAAAAGTTTGGCGTGAATTCAGGTGCCATCAAGTGACCTCAGATTTCGTTCAAGAGTGCATTATTGCTCAATCTGGTGAATACTGAAAAAGGCTGTTTTAAACAGAAGAGAGAATCAGCTTTCACAGGCCTTTAAATGATGTCTCAAGTCTTTTACGTACTATTTCCTGAATGTTTCACGTGCCATCTTATTTAATCCCTCCAGTCTTCACCGTACTTTATCATATCCCATATTATATGCATATTATCAATATTAAATCAATTGTTCTGTAGATTTTTAAGATCAACGTGTCATCAATATTATTCTACTCGTATACTACCCAAAAAAAAAAAAATTATTCTACTCGTATAAGATTATAAAGTGATCAGCGTCTCTATCGTAGAGAATCTTCAGCTTTATATTATATACAACGTGCTTGTTAGGTACTAATGATTTTTTTAAAATATATTTAAAAGATTGTTGGTTTAATGTTATTTATAATCTGGAGTTGTTAATATGATCTCATTAATTAGGTCTGTGTTTATCTGATTTGTTGTCAAATTATGGGTTTGGATATATATGACCTTGAATTATTGATTGCATTAACATGTAATTATAAAAAGATGACAGTTTTATGATCTGTCATGTCTTTCAAGCACAGGTACGTATACTGTGTCCAATGTCACCGAGGAAAAAATGACATGCTCTGTCCAATTATTGATACATAAATGTGTGTGTGTATATACACATGTGCACATACTATATATACATTATACAATGCTTCCTTTTTGGATATACTCAAATTGAAATCTCCTCTGCCGTGGAGAATCTTCGTACCATTATTTGGATAGGCTTACAAGCTGGCGTGAGAGCGGCCGCAGTGCTTTTCTTAAAATAGTGTTTGGTGAGCTCCATTATTTTTTCCGTCCGGTGGGCATCAATAAATTGATTCGTCTCCGGTAAGGACTAATTAGAAATTTATATTAGTTCCGTATATAAGATTTATCTTATATATTTATCAATTTTTAAATTAATTTATTGATATTTTTCTAACAATAATCAAGAAAAAGAGGAAAGAAAAAAATTAAAAAAATATTTAGGATCTTTTAGAAAAAATATCATATTAAATAATTTAACTAAAATCTTTAATTTATTTAAATTAGTTACTCCTGTGGTTTTACTTATTAGTCACTTCTAATATGTTTCACATGCCCTAAAGAAAATCTTAAACTTTATTAACTCTCGTTTAAAATTTAACAATTTTCTAACTTTATTCTTATTTAATATATACTATACCTTATCTAAATAAAGTCAACATAATAATAAATGAACAGTAAAATTATATATTCATATAAAAAATTTCTCTCAATATCTTATAAATAATATTAAAAAATACCTTCTTTATGCCCTAGAACCAAGGAATAATTGGGAGGACCGGACTTGGTCAAAAAGTAAAAAAATTGGGAGGACGACGATCATTTTAAAATAATGTACTGCATTAATTAATTATTTTGTCTGGGCAAACACGGGAAAGTAGGAATCCAAAGGACCCTGAACAGATCAGGCCGGTCGACAGAAATTTGCTGGACAACGTACTACCATGTTCATGTGGTATTGTTAATCTTATAACAGTTTGATAAAATTTCTTTCAAATTTTTCGGTAACTATGGGTTTGGACGAGTGAATTACAAGGACTAATAGACTAACTAGTTATATAAACCGGTGAAAGGGCGTTGAAAGTTTACGACAAAAAGTTATTCCATTCATAACTCAAATGTGGAATAAGGAAGCAAGAGTATTTATAACGTGCTTTTAAAAGGTGTTTGGATAGAAACCAAATCATGATTTTAAAAGTGATTTTATGATATGCGAGTGGAAGAATTTATCTCTATTTGTGAAAAAATACTTTAAAAAAACACTTATGAGAAAATTTGATTGTAAGGAAAACAAAAACGAAGGGTAGAAATTTTGGATTTTTGATGAGCCAATTTGGAAGAAAATTCACGATGGCTCATTTTAATTTGCGCGTGGTTAAGATAACTATCATGCATGTTTATTTTAACTTAACATTTTAAAATGGAATTTTACTAGAATACTTACGGATGAGTCTTCGTGCATGTTTGGCATGCACAACGAAGAAGACGAAAATGATGAATTAAAGAAAAGAAAAATTAAATACTAAATACTAAATTCCCAAATTATCCCTCACATATTAGGAAGGATGAGAGGCATGGAGGGTAGATGGGATACTATCTACACAGAAAAATGTCTTCCTTCCATAAGTTGAGGGAAGAAGCCTTTCCTTATACTCTTCCGGTACTTAATGTGAAACCTAATTAGAGAATTTATGTTGATTTTAAATATAAGACCTATTTTATATAATTATTAACTAACAGGCCCATAGTATTTCTTTCGCTTGAGTGGTGTTTTCTTAACAGGAAAAATGGTTGTGTTGAGGAGTTTGAGGGAAGAAAATGGAATCAGAATATAAATCTAAAAAATCTGCCAATTAATGACTTTAGATTGATCATTCCATTCCTTGTCATCTTATTTCTTATGATAAGATCCATCCGACGCAAACCCACTGAGGTACGTCTCATCACCTGAACAAATTAGTTTGTAAGGCTCGCACGTCATGAATAAAAATACGACCGCAGTTGATTAACCTCAATCTTAATTAATTAACATCTTTATGTGAAACAGAAAACTTCATCTTCTCTCCATGTCCCGCGCATTTGTCTTACTTTTAATTTGTTCTTTACTTTGTTTCTTTCTTTTAGTGAAAAGCGAATGGTGAAATCCAAAGGGAAAAAAAACTAAAATGTTTGGCTTATACCCAAATAATCTTGCCTAAGCACTAGTCTTAGGTAAAACCAGATGGGAAGATGCTTAGAAATTACCAGAACGTGTTTTGAAACTTAAAGTCCCTTAAATACTGGGTCTCCGGATATTACTGTCCATTCAAAGTGATGGAAGAATATCAAGTCCTTACCAGTAACCTGCAGCTTGCAGAAAGCAAGCGGGAAGCAAGCAAGGCACAAGATAGCTTATTTTATTAGTAGGGAAGGTTCACATTCGCATACATAGATAGGAGCCAAGCCTACTAATAAAAGTAGGAATTGGCTCACATAACATTATTTGTATATTACAGAATTAAGCAGAAGAGGATGAGCAAGGAGGATAGCAGAAGGTGGTGATGTCAAGGCAGCGACACTGTGGAGGATAACTGAGAGCGCAGACGCAGGACTTGCAGGCAGAGTGGCAGGTTTGTCCGATGTCGTTGCATTGACACTGAGGTGGGTTCGACTTTGTGCAGCGACAGTTGTTGCAGCAGGCCGTGGTGGTGGACTTGATCAAGTAATTGGGTTCGCCGTTGTCCTTAAACATCTCAGCCAGGAAGGTGTTGGCATCGAAGCGAGCCTCCACAGGTGCAGTAGTGAAGGCCATCAGAAACAGAACCACACCCACCTTCATCATCATCGCCTTCTTGCCCAAACCATATCTTCTCTTCCTCTCTTTCTCTTTGTGCGTCTTGAGTTTTGATGTGTGAAGATATGAGCAGACGGGAAGGCCTATTTATAAGTCAATTTAAGGGATATTATAATTCTGCGTGATTCACAACTGTATATGTAAATTACTACAATATTGAAGGCGAAAAACAGGATAATCATTCCTAATATCATGCGATTCCTAAATTATGAATAATACTCTGTTATTTAAAAGTTTCGCGTGCATTCTAGTGCTATCACGCGATCACCTCAAATTTTGTTTAAGACTGCCTTATTGCTCAGTCCGATGAATGCAGAAAAGGTTGTTTTGAACAGAACAGAACATCAGCTTTCCCATGGTGTAAATGATTTCTCGAAGAGTGATTTTACGAAGTTTAAGATAAGCATATTAGAAGAATTTTATTTTAATTTGTGTAAAAAAAATTTTTTAAGGTGTTTTTACTCTATGCCATCTGGAGTATTGTTTCATAAATGTTCTGTTTGTTATCTTTTATATTTATTTTATTTAAAAATTTAATTTAACTAGCTTATAAATTAATACTTCTCTTATCCTAAATATAAAACCCTTTTTGTATTATAATTTATACTATAAAAAAGGTTTTATATTTAGGACCGGAGGAATAGTATTTAACATTATACATGCATATAGTTGGCAAAAAAAAATTATACAGAAATATTTTAAGAAAATCACAGTACATATGCAATAATTGAATAATTTATTTGATTTTTCAATCTATTTGAATTAATTAAGCAACTCTATTAAGCTTATTATTATCAAGATAAAATAAGTGTCCTGTAGATTTAAGATCAATGCGTCATCAATAATTCATAAAATTATAAAATCATCAGTATTTTTGTCCTCCATCGTAAAGAGTATCCGGCAACATCATAACAAGGTGCTCGGTGGGGAATACTATAATTGTGTTTTATTGGGTTTGCGAGAATCTTTTGTTTTTTTCCCTCTTCATATTATCAATTAATTTTTTGTTGGTGATCCTTTTTTTGCACGATACTAAATAAAGGTGAAAAATTTATGGAATTGTGATTAATTTTAGCCAAAATCCTCACTGTTATTACTAAAAAGTTTTTTTAATAACAGTACTGTTACTAAATATTATTATGACATTTAGAAATAATATATTAATTTTTTTAGGATGTTAATCAAAACTGATCTTAACATTAAGCTTAGGAATTAGGAGAGTAAATGGAATCCAAAGACAGAATCAAATGTTTGATCAGGAAAGGCATAATTATAGGGCAATTTACGGGATATCTTTATTGTTAAGATAATAAGATGTGATTTTTTTTTCGGGTGAAAATTAAGATGCAGTTCTTAATTATAAAATGTTTGTCGCGTAAGAGAAGATTCATTCGCAAGGCAACTTAATTTGACAAGATTAATTATACTGTCCCAAAAAACTTTATATATATATATATATATATATATATTCTTCTTATTTTTTTATACAATATTCTTATGTTATTTATTTTATTGAACATAGAGTTGGGAAATGGGCTTGCCTGAGCCGAGCAAAAGCTACGTGGCTTGGCCCATTAGGACCCAAGTCCCAAAGCCGTGTTTCCCGTAATTTCACATGCTGGCGCACCAGTGGATCCACGTCCACTCCTCCTCAAGTCAACACGCCGATGAGAACTTTATTAACAAGAAGGCACGAGAAACTTGCCCTCAAGTTAGTCCACCTTTTTATGCACTAAAAAAAAAAATAGTTCTTAAATATGTCATAAAATAATAGAATTTTCCTATTTTATTTTAAAAAATAATTAAGTTGTTTTTAATATTACACTTTCGATAGCTTTCATTTCTCTAATACTCCTCCGGTCCTTAATATAGGACCCAATTGCTAAGTTGGTTTTGGTCATAAATATAAGACCCCTTTCTCATATTTATTAATTTTCTCTAAATTACCCCTATGGATACTCCATCAACTATAATCAAGTAGAAGATAGAGAGGGGTATTAAGAAAGATGATTATGGTATTTTAGGAAAAACATGTTATAATTTTTATAAGTAACTAACTTACCTAACTTCCTTAATCTAATCAAATTAGTTAAATGGGTCCTATATTAAGGACCGGAGGAGTATCTAATAAGGGAAAAGGTAAAAAAAAAAAATCACATTGAGTATTCTAACAACATTTACCACATTTTTTTTGACCAATTTCTTATATCATGAGCGGAGAGAGATTGTATTATTCAATGAACAAGATAGGGTTTACAATCACACTGAAATCACGTAAACAAGGCCCTGAACGAAGAAGTTCGCAGTTAAAGGTTTTGGTTCCATGAAGATGACAACGTTATTGTTGTGAGGAGTGAGAGGAGAATTTACGGTAGCAGAAGGTGGTGAGGTCAAGGCAATGGCACTGCTCAGGATAACTCTGAGCGCAGGCACAGAGATTGCAAGCAGAAGAGTTGCAAGTTTCTGCCATGTCTCTGCATTGGCATATCGGAGGGATCGTCTTTGTGCAGACGCAGTTGTCGCAGCAGATGCCAGTGGTCGGCTTGGTGATCAACTTTTGTCCCAAGTCGTTCATCAGCACCTCCGCCTCCTCCAGCAATCTGCTCACATCGAAGCCTCCCTCCACGGTGGCCGTCAACGCCGTCAATAACAGCACCACGCCCACTTTCACCATCGCCGCTTTCTTGTTCAAACCCATCTTCTTGTGGACGGGTCAGCATGTAGCCTCGAGGGTCATTTATAGCAACATTTGAGGCATGTTTAATACTACCTCCGGTACTTAATATAAGACCCTATTTGACTTTTATTTTGGTCCTAAATATAAGACCCCAATTCATTTTGTCTTTTATATTTATGTATTTTTTTCCAAGGTAGTCCTTCTAATAATTATAGTTCTAGCCAATATAGTTGATAAGTAAGGATATTTTAAGAAAGACAACACCTATTTATTACAAATAACTAACTTAACTTCTTTCCTTAATCTCCTCAAATTAGTCAACTGGGTCTTATAACTAGAACCGGAGGTAGTATAACGTACAATCCATGCCAAATATTAGTAACGTAAATTACACTACAAACTAAATCTTATATTTAGAATCAGAAATAGTACTCCTGATTCTTAATATAAGAACTATTTAACTAATATAATTAGATTAAAGAAGTTAAGTAAATTAGTTAATTATAAGAAATGTGGTATGTTTTTTCCTAAAACACCATTATCATCTTTCTTAATATCCTCTCTCACTCTTCTACTTAATTATAGCTGAAGGAGTATCCATGAGGGTAATTTAAAAAAATTAATAAATATGAAAAATATATGTTATATTTAGGACCAAAATCAACTCAATAATTAGGTCATATATTAAGAATTAGAGTAGTATTTTTTTATACATGTATAGAATAATATGTATTCTTGTCATTCTTTTTATAAGAGTAGGTATTCTTTTTCTTAATAGTAGTCACTTTATTAGATTTATCATATGAATTTATAATTTGACCATTAATTTGTTATTCTTTAATTTATCAGTCCTCACTCATTCTTTTATATTAAATATATGGTGAAGTTAAAAAATTATTAAATGTTAAAAAAAGTCAATGAGATTTATAAATAATTTTTTATTCCCATACAACGTGTTGTAAGTTTTTTATAAATAAAATTGGAAGAGTATGTGTATTTCTATAAACAGTTTTTTCTTAAAGAGAATAATTTGTACTTGATAATGCTAGGCCTCGCTGTTCACCTAACGTTGACCCCATCATTGCACTTAATCGTCCCTTATATAATAATCCTTAATTGTTTACATTTTAATATCTTTTAGACTGCTATATATATACACACGCGCGCACACACATATGAATCAGATCAAACAATTTTTGGACACTTAACTTATTTATATATACTTTATTAACCACCCCCAACCCCTCTGATTTTGACTTGTCGTTGTTATATATAATTAACAACTTGCTACTACTTCCAGTTCTAATTATAAGAGTTAGTTGACTAATTTGAAGAGATTACAAAAATAAGTTAAGTTAGTTATTTGTAATAGATAAGTGTTATCTTTCTTAAAATGTCTTTACTAATCAAGTGTATTGGTTAGAACTACTTTTATTAAAAGAACTATCTTAGAAAAAAAATACATAAATACTAGAGACAAAATAGATTGGGATTTTATATTTAAGACAAAATAGAAATCAAACAAGATTTCATATTAAGGACCGGAGGTATTATATTTGATCATTCCTTTCGTTGTCATCTCATTTTTAATAAGATTCATCCAACGCAAACACACTGAAGTGCGTCGCATAAATGTCGCATCATTAATAAAAATACGAACGTAGTTATTAATTAACATAAATCTTAATTAAAATGGTCATGAAATAGAAAGCTTCATCTTATAGGGAAGATATATAGCTTATCTAATATTAGGGAAGGTTCACATTGACGGACATAAAGAGAAGCAAAGCCTACTAATAAAAGTAGGAATTGGGTCATATAAAAGTGTGTGTGTGTGTGTATTATAAAGCCTTGAGCAGAAGAGGAGCAAGGAGGATAGCAGAACATCGTCAAGGAGAGTATGGGACTTGCAAAATGATCAGTGGCAACGTCTTGCGATGTTAAACATGTAATTCAGGAACAGCTGCGGAGAAAGCCATCAGGAACAGAACCAGAGAACCCGGAGAAGGGGAGGCCTATTTATAATTCAATTAGTTGTCAAATTTACAAAATTAAGATAATTTCACTTCAATAAAATTGGCGTGCTTTCTTGTGCCATAACGGCAGCGAATATTCTCATAATCTTTATTTTTCATTTTCTTATCAGAATTCTATCTTTACCGTTGGATCAAATAATGATGGTTTAGATTTTATACTTTATAAAACTATTATTGTAATATTAAATAAATAGGAGAGGGAAGATGGATATCTTTTTTTCAAAATATTAAATCTGAACTGTCTATTATTTGATCTAATAATAGATATGAGATTTTGAAAAGAAAAAAAGAAGAGGGGTTTTAAGAGTATTCAGACCAAGCTATAACTTTGACCTCAAATATATTGTCTAAGACTGCATTATTGCTGGATACAGAAGAGGCTGTTTTGAACAGAAGGGAGGATCGGCTTTCACATGCTCTTGTCTTTTACGTACTCTCTCCTGAAATGTTATGCGTTTTTTTTTTTTTGACCAGCAAAATCTTATGCGTTTTAATATATTCATATTAAAATTTTTAATATTCTACGAAAAATCCATGTAATTTTGTCTTTGATGCCAGTCATTTCTTTTACTACTTTCGGTGTTAATTATAAGAACTAGTTGACTAATTTAAAGAGATTAAAAAATAAGTTAGATTAGTTATTGTAATAAATAGGTATTGTCTTTCCTATAATATCCTTGTTGATCAAATTTATTAGCTAGAATTTTCATTATTAGAGGAATTACCTTGGAAAAAATGTACAAATATAAAAAGCAAAGTGAATTGAGGTCTTATAATTAGAATTAAAATAAAAAGTAAATAAAATCTTCTATTAAAAACCGAGGTAGTATTTCAAACCTAAAGAAATAAGGAAATAAAAGTGGCGCTGACGATAACTCCAAAGACAATAAATCGGGCATATATGGTTGGTTTATTATTAGCATTATTAAACACAGTTGATTTGTGTTTGATGGGAGACCGCGTGCATCGCCGAACGTTGACTCCACCTGTAATAATTCATAATCATAAATTGTGTGTGTATATATTCTCTCTTATATTTAATACAAGAACTAGTTAAAAATTAAATTTGATCCTAAATATAAATTCTAATTTATTTTATTTCTTAAATTTATAATTATTTTTAAAATATCCCTATTAATTATAAGATGTTCCCACCAAATAATAGTTCCAACCCACATAATTAAAGAGAGTAATATAAAGAAGTCAAAACATATTTGTTATCAATAATTAATTTAATATTTTTTTTATATTAATTATATGGCTCTTATATTAAAGATTTTTTGGGAGACTATCAAATACTCTCTCGAGACTTCTGTATAGTATAAGCAATATTCTTTTACATGATGTTGCCAACATTTTGTATTTGTCTAAAAATTTGATGCATTTTTTTTCTATTTTTATTCTCAGTTAGTTATATATCTTTCTCATTTATTTTTCCTACTCATTTTTTTATAAATATAATATTTTAAAAAATTAATTTTTTATATATTTTTTATTTTTATTAATTTTAGCTCGCACTTTGATCTGCTCATAAAGTTGTGAAGTAGTGGCAGACAGTGATTATTGATCATTTACGAGGTGACTAATTGCACACGATCCATGTGAGTTTTAACACAAACAAAAATGAATAACTCATCAATGCATGTACAATCCTTCGGAGAAGTCATAATAATTTCTCCCCGTTTTAAATGTAAAACTTAATTTATAGTACAATTTATATTTAGGATTGGAGAAGTAATTCTTAACTACTTTAACTAAATTAATAAAATTACTTAAAATTAATTTAAAATGAAAAGGTTTTTTAAAATTTTCAAAATTACTTAAAAGAAACAAAGTTAATTTTATCATATAAATTTATAATTTGACCATTAGTTTATTGTTCTTTGATTTATCAATCCTCACTCATTCTTTTATATTAAATATATGGTGAAGTCAAATATTAAATATTGAAACATGTCAAGATTTATAAGTAATTATTTATTACCATACAACATGTTGTAAGTCAACACACATTTATTATCACCAATAACAATTTAATTAATTTTTTTAATTTTTTCAAATTAGTTGTATAGCTTTTATATTGAGGAAATGAACAATACTTTTTTTTTTTTCCAGACTATCAAATACTCTATAGGCTTGTACATAGTATAAGCAATATTCTCTTGCATAATGTGGCCCACATTTTGTGTTGGTCTAAAAATTTAATACATTTTTTCTACTCTTTCTTTCTCTCACTCATTATTTTTTATAAATAAAATGTATTTAAAAATGATTTTTATATATTTATTACTTCTAACTAATTTTAATTCACTCACGAAATGGTAGCAGACAGTGATTATTGAACATTTACGAGGGGACTAATTGCACATGATCCATGTGAGTTCTAATATAGACAAAATGAATAAACCATCAATACATGTACACTCCTTCGAGAAGTCATAATAAATATTTTTCCAGTTTATTTATAGGGCAGAGAGAAAACATTTTTATTCTACTTATAAGACACTGAGAGAAACTTTTTATATAAGTGTACAATTTTACCCTTCATTTATTATTGTTGATTTTAATTATATGATATAATATATATTAAATAAGAATAAAGTTAAAAAATTGTTAAATTTTAAATAAGAATTAATAAAATTTAAAAATTTTCTTAATTTGTATGAATCATATTAAAAATAATTTATAAATAGATTAGAGGAGTAATTCTTAACTACTTTAACTAAAGTAACAAAACCCAAGCCCATCAAGAATCAGCTCGTTCTTTGACCTCTAGGTGCTATGGATCTCTTAGAGAGGATAATGACAGACCACGCGCAATTCAGATGCTGGCTTACCAGGGGACCTGACTCCCTCTCAACAAACACACACACACACAATTGATCCCAAGTTATTCTACTTTTTCGGTTCTAAATATAAGAGTTAATTTTTAGTAATATTATATTACAAAATAAATTTTATATTTAAGAATGGAGGAGTATTTTA